GGGTCCGGGCTGGGGATTCGAACCCGCCACCTTAGGTGTACGTGGCTGGCGCCTTAGCCGGTTGAGCTATAGGCGCCGAGCCTGAACATAAAATCTTGAAGTGTTATTGCTATAAAGACATTTTTTTTTCTTGGAGTTTTTGGCCAGGGCTGGGTTTGAACCTGCCCCCTCCAGCATATGGGGTCAGCGCCCTACTCCTTTGAGCCACAGGCACCACCCGACATCTTTAATATTATCTCCTCCAGATTTTTCTCTTTACAAAAGGGGATATGGAAGCACAGGGGATTAAGTAGCACATCCGAGGCCATATAGACTGAATCTGTATGAACACCTCAACATTAGGCCTACCATTAACAAAGGTGCTCCAAGGGTGAGGCCTGTGGCTCAAAGGAGTAAGGTGTCAGCCCCATATACCAGAGGTGATGGGTTCAAACCCAGCCCTGGCCAAAAACTGCAAAAAAAAAAAAAAAAGCCTGAAAGTCAATTTATTGTAAAGTAGCACAAATTGCCTGGCCTGGTATAAAGCCTTGCAAAAGATAGATACTGGACCTAGGGTTTCCTAATCTTAGAGCTGGGAGAGGGAGAAAGAATCTTCTCATTAATGAACTGGGTAATCATAGCCCAAGAACTCTTGGCCCATGAAGACATTTGAGAGGTGTCCAGGAATTCGGACCCCAACCTAAAACACCATTCACCCGACAAAAAAAGGCCAGTGGAGGAGAAAGCCAAAAGTAATAATTTGTTTCAGGAACATTGCAGGGAAATCACAGAGAACAAATTAACAAGTGTGGAGGTGTGATTAGCGCCAAAGATTCCTCTTAGCAATTACTGTAATAGTCCCGCCCAGAATGATCCAGAAAAACAAAGGATTTAATGTGCCAAGCCAAAGAAACAAACAAACCCCCCAAAGCCCAGCCCAGAGTCCTTTGTCCGAAGGACGGTATGGATGAGCCAGTCCTCAATTCTCCCAATGCTGTAAGATATCAGTAAAGAAGCCCCATTATCTAAAGCTTCCAGAACCAGGCAGAGTGATTTCAAAGGGAACCGCCCATATGAGAGACTGGCTGACGGTTCCCAGCAGGTGGTGGCCAAGCCAACCAGTCTGGAGACCTGCAGATTGCTCCTCTGTCCCATTTCCTTGCGCTAAGCTTGGCAGGCCAGGTTCTCTGGGTGGCGACAGGCTGGACACTGCACGTGTTGGGCCTGTGTCCCCGCTGGCCAGCGCTGCAGGGGCTGCTTTCTCTGTAAAGCAGCAGCAGATGGCCTGAAGGTTTTGAAACTGCCCTTCAGCCTCTGTCCCTGCTTCCTCAGGCTGGTGACCTATGGGCCCAATTTGGCCTTGAACTAAGGAGATGGGAAGTAAAATGTTAGTCTTCCAAAAAATAAAAAATGTGGTTTTCTTTTTGTTTTTGTTTTTTGAGACAGTCTCACAATGTAGCCCTGGCAACCTCAAACTCTTGAGGATGGCTTAAGCCATTCTCCGGCCTCAGCCTCCCAAGGAATGGGTCTGCCTGCCACAAGGCCTAGCTATTTATTTTGTTGTAGTTGTCATTGTTTAGCAGGCCTGGGTTGGGATTGAACCTGGCAGCCCAGTATATGTGGCCAGCAGCTTAACCACTGAGCTATAGGCGCTGAGCCATGAAAAGCATTTTTAAAAGTCAGCCTCTTGGCTTGGCACCTCTAGCTCAAGTGGCTAAGGCGTTAGCCCCATACACCAGTGCTGGCAGGCTCGAATCCAGCCCGGGCCTGCCAAACAACGACAACTACAACCAAAAAATAGCCAGGTGTTGTGGTGGGCACCTGTAGTCCCAGCTACTTGGGAGGCTGAGGCAAGAGAATCACTTGAGCCCAAGAGTTTGAGGTTGCTGTGAGCTATGACACCTTGGCACTCGACTGAGGGTGACATAGTGAAACTCTGTCTCAAAATAATAATAATACAAATATCAGCCTTTCCTATTCCCAAGGACTCAGTATTCTGAGCAGGTTCCCAAACCCCAAGCCGCTGCGCCCTGGGCCACTTCCCTGCGTCAGCCCCTGTCTTCCCCTCTACAGAGAAAGGCGAGCTGTTCGTGCCGTCTCCCAGCTACTTCGATGTTGTCTACTTGAACCCAGACAGACAGGCGGTGGTTCCCTGCCGGGTAACGGTGCTGTCCGCCAAAGTCACCCTGCACAGGGAGTTCCCGGCCAAGGAGATCCCGGCCAATGGGACAGACGTGGCCTACGACGTGAAGCGTGGCTTCGTGTACCTGCGGCCACGGGCCACACAGCAGGGCGTCGTCTACTGCAGGGCCGAGGCTGGAGGCAGGTCGCAGGTCTCCGTCAAATACCAGCTGCTCTACGTGGAAGGTGAGCCTGGCGCGGTCCCCTCCTTGGCCATTGTCTGCGGGCTGTTCCCTCCCTACTCGGGTACACGGGACTCTGCTCTTCTAGGCTGCCCTCCTGTACTGCTGTTTCTGGAATGTCCTACCTGCTTGCCTGTGACTGTGGCCCCACACCCGTCTTCCCTTCCGGCCAGATCCGTCCATCGTCCCCACGGTGCTCTCTGTGTGTTTGATCATCAGGTCCCCTCCATCTTTACCCTCCTTTGGGGTATCCTCCCAGCCTCTTTGTTTTAACCCGAATCTGATAACTCCCAAGTGCACTGTCCGCTGCCCCCGTGAGACTGCGTCCTTCCTGTGCCCATTCCCACTTCTGACTCTCGGTGTCTCCCCTTTGGCTGGGAGCCTCGGTCTCAGCTCTCTTTCTGTCACTCTTGTCTGTTCTTAAACATTTCAACGCATTGCCATTTGCCCCCCTCCATACTCCATCCATCCTCTAACCACCCTGTCAGCCCAGGTAGTCCCAGCTCCGGCCACAGGCTCGCACTGTTCTACGCTGCTGAGTTTGCTCCTCTCTCCTGTCCCCAGGCCCTCCACCTGCCGGGCTTACATCCTGGGGCTCATCACATCAGCTTTCCACTGATGCCTGCAGACTTCGCTCCTCTGCACTTCCCTCCTGCCTGTCCAGGAACAAATTATGTTAAATGAACCTGCCCATCCCATTCCACTGCCCTGTCTCCCTGGGCCTATGCTGCCCAAAGACCAGGGTTTGTAGTGGCCAGTGACTCTCCAGGAAAATGTGGGTCTTGATCAACGAGTTTTTGGGTTTTTTTTTTTTTTTTTTTGTAGAGACAGAGTCTCACTTTATCACCTTGGTAGAGTGCTGTGGCATCACAGCTCACAGCAACCTACAACTCCTGGGCTTAGGCGTTTCTCTTGCCTCAGCCTCCCAAGTTCCTGGGACTATAGGTGCCAGCCACAACACCTGGCTATATATATACACACACATATATATTTTTTTTGTCGTTGTTGTTGTTGCAGTTTGGCCATGGCTGGGTTTGAACCTATCACCCTCCGTATATGGGGCAGGTGCCCTACTGACTGAGCCACAGGCATTGCCCCAGTTTTTTTTTTTTTTTTTTTAAGACAGAGTCTCAAGCCGTCGTCCTGGGTAGAGTGCCATGGCTTCATAGCTCACAGCAACCTCAAACTCTTGGGCTTAAGTGATTCTCTTGCTTCAGTCTCCCAAGTAGCTGGGACTACAGGGGGCCACCACAATGCCTGGCTATTTTTTTTTTGTTGCAGTTATCACTGTTGTTTGAGCTGGTCTGGGCTGGGTTCAAACCCGCCAGCCTCAGTGTATATGGCTGGTGCTCTACCCACTCAGCTCTGGGTGCTGCCCCCAGTGAGAGTTGTTAATCATTCGCAGCAAGCCAGCGCTGAGAATAACCTCCAAAGCAGTGTCTCCCGGGGGGAAAGTGGGCTGGAGTTTTACAGGGTAGTTGAGAAAGAAAAAGACATGTTCCCACATGTAGGGATGGAGTTTTCTGGGGTTAGTTGTCCCCCACGTGTTGCAGGACAATGAAGCCACCTGTCCTCCTGGGTGGGGACTTTAGCGTGGTCGGGAACAAAGTTCGCCTGCCTTCACCTACGGGCTGCTGGGGTCTGTGGGGCTGGTTTCAGCCAGGGGCGCAGCCGCAGGCCTTGGGAACAAAGGCTGCAGAACGGGTTGATTGCTCAAGTTGGTTGAATTCCTGTGTGCTCTGGAGACCCTCCCTTCTCGCCTGGACCCAGAGAGCTGAGGGCTGCTGAGACAATCCCACAGGTGCTTGAGGGTGTTGCTATGATTGCCTGGTCTCTGGTCTGCCCCACCTAGTGCCCCTTGCCTTTTTTCCCATTTCTACTCTGCTTTCCCTGACAGTTTCCCAGTTTCTGGACTGTCCTTCTCCCGTGTCCCCTGCCTTTTGTCCCATATCTACCCTGCTTCCCCCAAGGTGCCCTGCAAGCTTCCCGTCCTCCAATCCTGCCTGCCTCATTCTCTTCCAGCTGGCCTCATGCCCCTCCTCTTAACCAAGGTCAACCATGATCACACTCTCCATTTAAATTGGAACTATCTTTTCAAAATGTAACCCTTTTAGTGAGGAGTTTCAGTTGCTTTCCTAGCCAGCTGCTTCTGTTCTTCATAGCTTCCAGGTTTTGCTCTGACAGGCTTGTTGGGTAAGACAGCCCCATTTCTGGTTTCTAGACTATTCATTTTATTTTATTTATTTATTTTTTATTTTTTTGAGACGGAGCCTCAAGCTGTCCCCCTGGGTAGAGTGCTGTGGCATCACAGCTCACAGCAACCTCCAACTCCTGGGCTCAATCGAGTCTCCTGCCTCAGCCTCCCAAGTAGCTGGGACCAGCCATCATTTTGGTTGCAGCCATCATTGTTGTTTGGCGGGCCCGGGCTGGGGATTTGAACCCGCCACCTTAGGTGTATGTGGCTGGTGCCTTAGCCGCTTGAGCCACAGGCGCTGAGCCGACTATTCATTTTAAATTCATCCCAAAGCTGTCCCCTCTCTCCCTACCATGCTCAGGTTCTACAGCTGAGTCCAGAAACTCAGAGCAGGAGACAGTCCCCTCCCTGCTCTGCTCAGGTGCTTCAGTGCTGAGAGAGAGGCCGGAGCCCAAGAGCTGGGAACCTTGGTAGTAAACACTAAGCTGGCTTCTTGCCTGTGAACCTGATGGGGCAGACGGTGGCTTCAGCACTTTGCCATGAGTAATAGGAGGTTCACTCCTAAGCAGCCTCCTCAATGTCATTGGTCCCAATGCAGATGTATCCTCATCCTGCTCTGTGTCCGCTTTGCCCCCCTCTTTTTGAGACAGGGTCTCACTCTGTCACCTGGGCTGGAGTACAGTGGTGCGATCATAGCTTCAAACTCTTGGGCTCAAGCAGTCCTCCCACCTCAACCTCCCAAGTATGTGGGACGATAGCCACATGCCACCACACCTAATTGAAAAAAATTTTTGTAGAGATGGGGTCTTGCTATGTTATCCAGACTGGTCTTGAACTTCTGTGCTCTGCCTCCCAAAGTGCTGGGATTACAGGTGTGAGCCACCATGCCCAGTCTGTATGTGTTTTTTTGGTCTGAGCCACAGACCAAAAAGGCTGGAGCCTTGAAGTCTCTATGTCCCTCCGATCCTCTGTCTCTGGACTATGTGGTAACCAGAAACTTACAGAGCACAACCCGGACCCCTTGCCTCCTAGGAGCCCCCGCCTGGGCTGATGGCACAGGGCCATCAACCACAGAGCTTCAGGTCACCTGCTTGCCCTGACCAGAGGTTCTCGTGGTCCAATTGCCCTTCTTTCTGGAGTGCTGGCACCCCCTTGCCAGACCCTGTGAGGGAGGAGGGGAAAGACTTGCATTTCAGGCACTGCCATCCCTCAGGGGTTACTTCTGTCTCTCTCTGCGGCCTGACCATGGCAGGTGGTCTTTGGGAGAGGCCATCCTCCTGCACTGGCGTTAGCCAGGCAGGCCTGTGGAGGCATGAGTGGCCCCAAGAGCTGGTGGCTCCCTGGAGTTGGAATTCAGGCTCCTTGGTGCCTGGTATTGTCAGCTGCTGGCGGTGGCCCCAGTGCTCTGTCACCAAATAACTCCTGCAGCCCTGCTTTGACCCCTCAGTCTCCCCGAGGCCAATGCCCTTTCCCAGGACAGCCAAGTCCCTGCCTGAGCTTGGGGTCCCCTGCCCCACTTTCTTTCCTCCCCTCACCCCCACACTCCTTAGCCCACTGCCATCTGGCTTTCTCCCTGCCTGGTGCCAAAACAGCTGTGGCCAAGGTTCCCGGGGACTCGTGTGCCGTTAAATCCAGCAGGCCGTTCCTGTCCTTTTCCCCTCCTGCAGGAACAGCCTCCTCCCTGGTTGTTTCTCTGCCTCTTGGCTGCTTATTCTGCTTCGCCAGCAGGTTGCCCTGTCAGCTTTTCAGCACTGGGGCTCCACGAGGTCCGCTCCCCTCTCTCTCCTGTTCCCTTCCTGGGCAGCCTCTGCCATCTCCATGGCTCCACGTCTTACACGCACGCTCTGAACTCTAAATGAGTATCTGTGGCTCAGACCCGGGAGTGGCAGGTTCACATCACCAACTGTCCACCTAGTGCCTGTGCCTGGAGGCCTCAGGGCCCTTCAGACCCTTTGTGCCCCGCCCAAACCCACAGTCATCCCTGACCTGGTTCTTCTGCCTTCTCTGTCCTGGTGATGGCACCTCAGTCACCCAGGGGATAGGCTGGTGGCTGCAAGTCAAGCCCAACCTTCCCTCTCTGAGTCCTTTCTACTTTTTCCATTAAATCAATTTCAACTCTAGTTTCTCTCCTACTCACTGCAAAAAAGGGTTTGTACTGTCATCTCTTCCCAGGACTAATATGAATAACGTTTCCCACTGATGTCTCTTATGTTCACTCTGTCTTTCTCCACTCCATTTCCCACACTCTAGATGACTGATTGCTATGGCACCAGCAGGTACCATACTACTGGTGTAAATCCTCAGGTCTATCTGACCGGCCTCTGCCTTCCTTCCCAGTGTGGGGGACACTCTGCCCTGTCCCCCTCTGCCTGGCATGGGGACACTCTTCCTTGTCCTTTGCCCAGCCTGGGGACACTTCTCCTTCCCCCTACCCTCTCCAGCCTGGGGCACTGCTCTCTGTCCAGCCTGGGGACACTCCTCCCTGTCTTCCTCTGCCCTGCCTAGGGACACTCTTCCCTGTCCCCCTTTCTTAGTCTGAGGGACACTCATTTCTCCCCCCACCCCACCCAGTCTTGGGCACTCCTCTCTGTCCAGTCTGGGGAATACTCCTCCTGTCCCCTTTTCCTAGTCTGGGGACACTCCTTCCTCCCCCCACCCCGCCCAGCCTGGGGACACGTCTCCCTCCCCCTACCCTCTCCAGCCTGGGGCAATGCTCTCTGTCCAGCCTGGGGACACTCCTCCCTGTCCCCCTTTCCTAATCTGGGGGACACTCCTTCCTCCCCCCACCTCACCCAGCCTGGGGCACTCCTCTCTGTCCAGTCTGGGGAATACTCCTCCTGTCCCCCTTTCCTAGTCTGGGGACACTCCTTCCTCCCCCCACCCTGCCCAGCCTGGGGACACGTCTCCCTCCCCCTACCCTCTTCAGCCTGGGGCAATGCTTTCTGTCCAGCCTGGGGACACTCCTCCCTGTCCTCCTCTGCCCAGCCTGGGGACACTCCTCCTTCCCCCTACCCTCTCCACCCTGGGGATACTCCTCCCTGTCCCCCTTTCCTAGTCTGGGGACACTTCTCCCTCCCCCCCCACCCCGCCCAGCCTGGGGACACTTCTCCCTCCCCCTACCCTCTCCAGCCTGGGGCAATGCTCTCTGTCCGGCCTGGGGACACTCCTCCCTGTCCTCCTCTGCCCAGCCTGGGGACACTTCTCCTTCCCCCTACCCTCTCCAGCCTGGGGACACTCCTCCCTGTCCCCCTTTCCTAGTCTGGGGGACACTCCTTCCTCCCCCCGCCCAGCCTGGGGTACTCCTCTCTGTCCAGTCTGGGGCCTGTCCCCCTTTCCTAGTTTGGGGGACACTCCTTCCTCCCCCCACCCCGCCCAGCCTGGGGCACTCCTCTCTGTCCAGTCTGGGGAATACTCCTCCTGTCCTCCTTTCCTAGTCTGGGAGACACTCCTTCCTCCCCCCACCCCACCCAGCCTGGGGCACTCCTCTCTGTCCAGTCTGGGGAATACTCTTCCTGTCCCCTTTTCCTAGTCTGGGGGACACTCCTTCCTCCCCCCACCCCACCCAGCCTGGGGCACACCTCTCTGTCCAGTCTGGGGAATACTCCTCCTGTCCCCCTTTCCTAGTCTGGGGGACACTCCTTCCTCCCCCCACCCCGCCCAGCCTAGGGCACTCCTCCCTGCCCCCAGCGCAGCCTGTCTGCACTGAGCCACCCCTCACAGAGGGGCTGCACACTCAATGCTTCCATCCATGTCTCTGAAGCTCTCCCCTGAGATTTTCATTCAAATGCTGCTTCCCGAAACCTTCCCCTGCTCTCAGACTACTCCGAACTGTTAGTACACTCTGGGCTTCTGCATCATAGCTCTTCACACAAGTGTTAAGTACATCATTACTTGCTTGGTGTTTACCCTTCTAGAAAACCACTTGCAAGGGTTCAGAGACCAGGTCATCTAGCCCTTGACACGTAGCCTTGCTCAGTTGAGTGAACTGGCCAGAATGGAGAAACTCTTGCTGAAACGCGGTGAAGGCACTGCCAACCCAGTGGCACTTGGGCCCTGCTTGTTTGTATGTTTAGACTTTTCTAAGGATGTACAGCCACATACCTGCCGGCTCCCTGCTGCCCCTCTGGACACCACCACCCAGGCTGTTGTCACTATGTCCTACCCGCCCCTTCCCTAAGTGGCTTCACTCCTCTCACTTCTTTGTTCCCTGTAACCCCGGACAGACCTCTGAGCCTCTCCCCATCACAAGCTTGGTGGATGTCCCTGGGAGTTCTAGACCAGCAGGGTTGAGAGCTAAGGGTGGCTTCAAAGGAAGCCAAAAGTGGGGGGCTGGTGCTGGCGGGGAAGCTGTAAGCGAGGAAGAAACGTCTCGTCTCTCCCAAGAACAGACACGGCTGTGGGTTCCTTTCCAGCGTCACGCTCAGTCTCCCTCACTGTGCCTGTCTCCTGCTGCCTTCTAGTTCCCAGCGGTCCTCCTTCAACCACCATCGTGGCCTCCTCAAACAAGGTGAAGGGCGGGGATGACATCAGCGTGGCCTGCACCGTCCTGGGGGAGCCCGACGTCGAGGTGGAGTTCAGGTGGATCTTTCCAGGGCAGAAGGTAAGCGCTGCTCCTGAGTGTCAGCTGGACATTTTAATAGTTTTGTCCCCACCCAGGGACACAGGCCATGAATCAGGTAGCCCTAGAAACCTGTGGGACTATGGGAGGGGCCACGGCTTGCCTGTTTTCTTCTGCGGTGTCTCAGGCTATTTGCAAATAGACTTTATTTTTAAGGACAGGGAATAAAAACCAATTGGATTCCATTAGGCAATTTGCTCCATGTACCCTCTCCATGTGTAGTTTTTCTTTAAACCCCTTAGTTATGAGGGATATGAAATGGACAGTCTTCAATCCCAGCTTCTGGGTCTCTTGCAGACTAATCTAACCTTTTGGGTTCTTCTTCAGGCCTTATAGGCTATGCCCTGTGCTCTGTGGCCAGGGCCTCTGAGCAGACATCTACCAAGTGGGCACAGACACACAGCCTGTATCGAAAAGGTGCTGTGAGGCCAGAGATCATTTTAAAATAGACGTCCCCTAAAAGCAGCTAAAACATATTTAGCTCTTGTGCACAGCCTGCTTACTAAAATAAACAGCTCTGACACCAACTTGGAATGAGCCCTTTGTTGCCAGAAGAAACCTGGCCTCCCCAGCCAAGCTCAGTAGCTGATATGCTTCTGGCCTATGGGTTATGATTGGTAGAAAATAACTATCCTTGGGGAATGGCGTTTACCAGCATCCTTGTGCTAGGTACTTGTTTTTAAAAAATGTTACACAGAGAGGACCGGAATGATTTTCAATGGAGGGTTTTTTCTACATTGCTAACTGGGATTTTCTAAACACAAAAGGTATTTATTCACTTATAAACATTAATCAGTTCAACTGATTGAGACAGTACTATGCTCTTATCACCAGAGGTGGCTGAGACATGGCACTAGTGGCCATCTCATTTTCCAGATACGGGGGTTCGTGTGCCCCCCTGCAGTGTCTTACCCACTCCTGGTATAACTTTTCTCCCACTGGAGTCCAGTGACACATGTGCCTAATCAGAGCTCTCCCCCTCTCAAATTTGTCACTTACACAGTGACTGTTCCATCAGGCTTTTGACTTGCTATCCTGTAAATAGGAGTCACTGAGCTTAGGGGAGACAGTAGGCAGTGGAAAAATTTTGGCCACGCTCTTAAGGCTTAATACCAGTTCCAGTCCTTGGAGTTCCAAAAGGATAAATTTTATAGTAGAAACTTACTGAAAAAAGGCTCCAAAGAGAGTGTGCCAAACAGCATAATGAAATTCCAGAGTTTTTCCAAATTCAGTGGGAAAAGAATACAGCCTAAAATGATTGCACAGTGTAGAAGTACCCAGAGCTTATGAGCACCCATGCCAAATCATCTCTTGTGAGCCTGTGTTTTCCACTTTGAAAGGGACACTCAACAGTGTGGGGTGAATGGGAGCTGTTGATAGTGACTTGCCTCTCGTGCTTCAGTCTGTGTGGGTGTCGTTACACAGGACGACAGGCCCGTGACAATTCAAGACTCTTGGAGGCTGATCCACAGAGGACGCGGTCACACCACAAGAATCTCCCAGAGCGTCATCACGGTGGAGGACTTTGAGACCATTGACGCAGGGTATTATATTTGTACCGCACAGAATCCTCAAGGACAGACGACAGTAGCTACCACCGTTGAGTTTTCCTGACGTGGAAAAGGGAAGTATGATGAACTTATGGAAGCCCTATTTGTAGAATTAAATGATGGGCTTTGGGATTCATTTTATTAGTGCTTAGCTGAAGGGCTGACGTCTAGTACCTGACCCTAACCCCTGCCCTCATGAGTCAGACCCAGACGTCCAAACTCAAAGGAAGTCATTGGGTCCGTTAATACAAGTGTTAACTTTTTTAACACAAAACACGTATTTTGGGTTGCTTGCCTACATCTGTGTTTCTAGTTTTTATAAGTAAATATGTAAACAACTTTATATAATCATGTCTATTAAAGGAGCAATTTTTTGTAAATAAAAAAATGGGGTAAGTGCTTGTTTTTTTAAAGTACAGCCAGAGGGACATAGCGGGCAGCAATATTTGGGTCAATACCTAGTGTTGACTACAACACACTAAAATTTTAAGATGTACTAATCTATAGTTCAACTACTGAGCCACAAGCACCAACTTGAAAGCAAATGTGAGTTAATTTATGATAATTGAAAAACATTCTATATACTTGATTTTTAATTCTGGATGAGTCTATTCAGTAAGGGTGAAAACATGTTTTTAAAAGTGTAACTGTCACTGGTCCCATATGCTGGAGGTGGTGGGTTCAAAACTCAGCCCTGGCCAAAAACTGCAAAAAAAAAAAAAGTAACTGTCAGTCTCAGCGCCCGTAGCTCAGTGGTTAGGGCACCGGCCACATACATCAAGGCTGGTGTGTTTGAACCTGGCCCAGGCATGCTAAACAATAATGATGACAACAAAAAAATATCCAGGTGTTGTGGCAGGTACCTGTAGTCCCAGCTACTTGGGAGGCTGAGGCAAGAGAATCACTTGAGCCCAAGAGTTTGAGATGGCTGTAAGCTGTGACGCCAAGGTACTCTACCGAGGGTGACACAGTAAGACTCTGTCTCAAAAAAATATATATAACTGTCAATATAAAATAGATGCACAGATTAACATTTAAGTTTGTTTAGACGTTTTCCTCATCTTCATAAATATTTACATCAGAGCTATTCTAATTCTTATGTTATATAACTCAGATTGTTAAAACCAGCCGAAAATTTTTTTTTCTCAAACACACGTAGCTTTGAACTTGGAAAAGAAAAGCCTAGCTCTAACTCTAGCTGTGAGCCGAAGCTCTGCCCATGACCGATTCTGCGCTTGCCCTGGAAATTCCAGGTAAGTCGCGTCAAAGGAGACACAGTCTAAATGACTACGGTCTGAGGACAAGCTTTGCAAAGGCAAAGGTCACAATTCTTATATTGAATATTCCAGCATTATTTATTTGATCAAAGTAAAGTACACTTTCCATCGCTAAAAACTGACAACTACAGTTGTTTACACATCCATATTTTTATGACGTGCTGACATTTTGCATCCTACATGAAATATTTGGTTTTTTAAAAAAAGGTTCTCTGTTTTGTTCTCTGAAGAACATTTGCTATTAATTGCTGTAAGATTTATTTCCCGGACACACAGTGTGGAGGACAGCAGGGAACCGTATGAGATTTACCACGTGTGGGGGATGAATGGCAAACCAACCCAACTTTGGCTAGTTGGAAGCACGAGCAGAGACACTCCAGGAAGTGGCAGTGAACCTCTGTTTCTACTTACTGAAAGCAAACAGGGAAAGTGACATACATCATAAGCTACTGGAAGTCAGACTTCAGACACAATCACGAATTAAAGAAAACATGCACGGTGACTATCACTTTGCTATGCAGTGTACATGGAAATGACTCAAATATTCACCTCTATTCCTGAAGCTCTTCTTACCATAGGGGCTATTTGTCCAGCCACTGACTGCAGCTTAGTAAATACTGACACTGCCATGTTGACACATGCAGGGAGAGGAGAGGAAGCCACAGTACTTCCTTCCTTCTGCCTTTACCAAAGTCTCAGAATTGGGGGAGGTGATAAGTGACGGTGTGGAAAGAAATGGAAACATTTCTTGGAGCAGAGTCACACGAGAGCCACACTTTCCATTTGCTGGCTGGCCATTCCAAACACAAAAGGATTTTTCAAAGGGTACCTGAAAAATCAGCGTGGTCTTCCTACCCTGTTTTCTTCTCTTAAATCCTGCATCACTGGTGTAGTCAAGGTCAAGGTGCTTCTAGTCATCCATAAACACTGAATCCTATTTTAATTCTACTGGCCAGTGACTTTCTCTTGTTCTCGACTTTAAGATTTTTTTTCAAATTTATAGTATCAGACCCAGGCCATAGTGTATTTGGAAAGTGGCTTCAGCACCTTGAAGATGAGCTGGCTCTGGAAAAGGACGTCCCTTGATCCTTGCGTCCCAGAGAGAAGCAGGGAGGTGGTTTGCCTCTGTGGCTCTGGAGGAGGGAGAGAGCAGAGGGGAGAAGGAGGCTAATGGGAGAGAGGACAACAGATTAAATCTGCAGGAACAGCTTCGATCAAGGTAAAAATAAGGCAGAACCATCCCTGGGTTCTGCTCTTTTCTTTATATACATTTTTAAGAAAAATTAGGGTTCTACATTTACTCATAAGCCTGAGAAAATGGATCGTGGTATAGCGTTGGGCTCACAGGGCTGAGTAAAAAATCGACAGAAAAATCTGGTTTCAGTGGACATGGCTGACTATTGAAAAACTCCCAGAAAGTTAACAGAATGGGGACAGTGACACAGTCAAAGCGTCTCCTGTCACGATAGCCTCTTCCCAGCATGTCACAGGGCTGAGCAGAGATGGTGGGGATCATAACGTAAGCAGCTATTGCTTTCTATGCTATGGCTTTGCTGAAATGTCTGTCTGATTCTCCGGCTTTTGACTCCATACGCAGCGAAGGCGGCTGCATCAGACACCTGGTACGGCCACCTCATTCACACCCCAATAAAACTCACAAGAAGGTGTCTAGGGTGAAGAACAGTAGAAAGGTTATACATCTTTATCTGAATAGGCCCCTGAGAGCTTTTCCCCCTATGCTTAGGTGAAAAAGGCAATAAACAAGATTCTCTCGTTCTTTAAGTGCTCTGTGCAACGATGTCCGGGTCGGTTCTGAAATCTTTTTTGGAGGTGTCTTTGGGACTGGGTCAAAAGTCTTCCTCCGGAGTTCCAGTCTCAGAAGTAGCCGCTTCCGGGGGTGACTTTCCAGTTATCCTGCAGTGAATCCATGTACGCTAAGGCGGTGCTCCCGTGTCACCGTGAGGATCAGTCCTACAGACCTGTCTCCAAATGCTTCCGGACAGTCTCTTAGTGTTCAAGATGTGTCATCTGGGTGAAATGCTGGGGCTGGAGAAGGAGCCGGAACTCCTTGGGGACTGGAACGGGATGGCGGAGGACGTGGGGGACCGCTTGGGGCTACACAGGTCACCGTTGTGCAGCTTCCACAAAAGCTCCTCGTTCTCCATGGAGAGGCGCTTGTTGACTTTTGATTCTTTCTCCAGCGACTCCTGCAGAACCGCCTGCTCGGTGGAGAGTTGCCTTAAAGACAGAGAAGAGCCAGAAACCATGTCAGTCTAAGTTAAAAAGGACTCGAAGAAAAAAAATTATTTTCTTACCGTTTTAGATTGAAAGGCCCACGTTACCCTTTTGGGATAAAATGGAATCCTGGACCAGGTCAAAGACACTTGGCTGGCTAAGAAACCTAGAAGTGTGAACTTGAGGAAGAAAAAAGAAAAAGAAACGGCACCTCTTTGGGGCAATTTCCTAGCAGGAAAGTGAGTGAACTTTTACAAGCCTTCTACCCATTCTGTGACTGTCTGACGTCTGGGGAGGTTTCCTGTCTCCTTTTGTGCTGCTGTTTCTCTGCAAGTGTTCTCGGGGCCTTGTAGGTCAGAGGGTCTGCAAGAGGCTGGCTCATGGGGGTCTCAGTGTCCCATCGGGGCCACAATCATCTCTTCCAGAGAGAAATTTGGACCCCTTAAGCCTCTGGCTTCAGTGGCATTTCCAGGAGGGACATGGGTGGAGGGTGCTAAGAAAGTGCGGCCCTCAGGTCTGCGGCCGTAGCTCAGTGGGTAGGGTGCCGGCCACATACACCGAGGTTGGCAGGTTCAAATTCAGCCCGGGCTTGCTAAACAACAATGACAAATGCAATTTAAAAACAGCTGGGTGTTGTGGCAGGTGTCTGTGTCCCAGCTACTTGGGAGGCTGAGGCAAGAGAATAGCTTGAGCCCAGGAGTTTGGGGTTGCTGTGAGCTGTGATGCCATGGCATGCTACTGAGGGTGACATAGTGAGACTCTATCTCAAAAAAAAAAAAAAAAGAAAGAAAGTACAGCCCAATGTTCAAGGAAGGGAAGCGTTCCGGAGAAACAGGACCATTTTCTTTTACCTTGAAATTGCCATGTGCTTGTCCATCCGGGCTTTTAACTCCTCATTCTCCTGCTGGAATCTCTTCAATTTGTCAACCAGTGCTGTGTTGTTGTCCACCTTGGTATAAGCAAGAATTCCCACATTTACATAACAAAAAATAAGTAACTCCCCTATTCCCCCCACCCAGAACTCAGTCTAATCCAGTGGTTCTCAACCGTCCTAATGCCACGACCCTTTAATACAGTTCCTGTGGGTTGCGACCCCCAGGTTGAGAACCGCTGGTCTAATCTGTCATTTCCACAAGCACACTGTGGAAAGACTTAATTAAGGAAAATTTAATACCATGTTGAAATACAATCAGATGCCTTGAAGAAAAAAAAAAAAAACCTTAAGCAGCAAAATAGAGCATCTAGAAACTATTTTTAAAAATGTTTGCCAGGCCGCTTAAAAAGGGACATTACCCAGGAGGAAACTGATTTGTTCCAGATCAGACTGTTTTAGAATATTACTCTGAGAACTGGTGGCCTGTTCCGGGCACCCCTGGCTGCTGTGTCTGTTTCAAGGTCAAATAATATCATAGCTCATAGCTGTGTTTATCAAAAGCTACTATAGTATCTTATGATAAATTGTGCAAAACAGTATTTTCTGCATTTGATAAAAACTCCTAGGCTAACAGTTCCAAGTTCTCTAACTGTTCTGAGTCCTTTAGCAGTGCTGAGTTCTCAGCAATGGTTAATGTGGCTTTAAACACAGTTCCACGGTCACTCTTGGGCACTGACCTCTCTGAGTAGCCAGGCAGTGCAGTGACCCAGCAAAGCTCTGTGGGGCATTCAGTGAAAAGAAGTGACCTGCAGAAGGCCACCCTGCTGAGCTCAACTGAGGATGTGTTTGTTCAGTTTTCCTGTGGGCCTGCCCCAGCTAAACTTTCAAGGAAAACAAATTAATTGGTGGAAGAGATTAAAGGATAAGATCCCTGAAGACATTTAATCACTTAACATGATGAAGAGCCGATTACATCCCAGCTCACTTTCTAAAGGTAAGATTTTATTACCTGCTTAGGAGGTGATATCTCCATCTCTATCCAAATTAATTCTAAGTCCCTATCCTTGTAGCAGAGAAATAACTTTCTAGAAAACGAATCTGGAATTTCTGTGTGCCCTTCAGAGAAGTTCAGTAATCATAAAGGAATTCTAGGTAAAATTCTGGGTGGAAAAATCTGGAACTGGAGACTGAGCAGTGATGGGCCTTTAAATATTATCTCGTCCAATCCTTCATAGAGTGGGAAACTAGGCCTGAGGCTGTCACAGGGCTATTAATGATTATTGGCAGAGCTACTTTCACAGCAAAGCTTTCTGCCTTAAGACACTTAGCACGAGGCAGTTTTTTAATTTCTTCAAAGGCTGGGACTTTACAAGTAAAGTCACAGTGTGTGTCCCTGTCATCGTGCTACCCCATTCTTCCATATACACACAATGCAAAGCTGATGGATATTGTAACTTTTTGGGCACTGCAAAAAACAAATACTATGATCAACAAAAAGTATAATGTGCTGGTAATTTTATGGTGGGCCCTGTTTTACTGCACATCATTTTTGGAGACGTGCTGACGCATGAATGGCACACAGACCCACCAGAGGCACCACTGATGGCCAGATTAGCAGGGTTATCCATCAGACTTCATAGAACAGGCTGACCTCTGGGAGGAAGTGGTATGGATGTCAGCATGGGCCCATTAACCATCCTAAGTTCCAGGTGCAGTGGCTCATGCCTGTAATCCTAGCACTTGGGGAGGCCGAGATGGGTGGATTGCTTGAGCTCACGCGTTTGAGACCAGCCTGAGCAAAAAGTAATACACCATCTCTACTAAAAATAGGAAAACTGAGGCAAGAGGATTGCTTGAGCCCCAGAGTTGGAGGTTGCTGTGAGCTATGATGCCATGGCTACTCGTCTCAGACAGCTTGAGACTCTCAAAAAAAAAAAAAAAAAAAAAACCACCTCATAAGTTCCATTCCTTCCTTTAAGAAAAGGAGACTGTCCAGGGCTGGTTTGGGTTTGCATGAGGCCCATCTTTAACTATGAGTGTTTCAGGGAGAAGAGGCAATGAGTGCCAGGCAGCTGGCACGGTCAGGAGCCGACTACACTGGTAGCTGGGCTCAAGCTGCTTTGCCAAACCCTGCCCACTTGGTTGGAGCCCTGCCTAGCAGCAGCTGTGCTTCAGGGCCAAGACTGACGCTGATCACTAGCCATGCCACTCGATCACCAGATCTGAGTAGACTGTCCCACAACACAACATCCTCTGTCCTACAGGCCACACTCTGCATTTTACTCATATTTTCCATAACGCTTGCTGTTTTTCCACTGGATTAATATTAGAGCATAGTTCTTTCACCACGTGCTAATTCACAATAAGCAAGATGAGGAATTTAGATCGACTGCATTGCTTCAATGGGATTAATTTATATATTCAACTGGTTTGGACATAAGAAACCCATGCAGAGTTGGTGGTAAATTAAGGCACTGGCTTTATATTACAGGTATTTAAAATTCTGTCTTAGCCAAGTGAAGATTCAGAGACCACTAAAATGTGAGCCAGATTTGCTTGTCACAGATTGCCCAAGAACTGAATGCTGCTTTAGCTATTCCTTGAGGGGAAAAATGTCTTAGAAGGCACCAATGACTAAGCCTTGGGCATATGTGGGAAAGGAAACATTATCTTTTGTACGATTTCCAAATATCTTTAAGTAGCAGTCAACTTAACGCCAGAGTTTTAAGATCAGAGCTCTGCTTCTACTTCCTGGCTGCCACCCCTCATGGTCAAGGCCCTCGACCGTTCTTCTAAGGGAGCCGTACGTACCAGTTTCTCCATTTTCATTAACTTCACGTCTTGTTGGTGCAGCTTTTCATTCTTGATCTCTAACACAGCTTTCAGGCTTTCTAATTCTTGCTCCAGATACATGATCTGTGGGTTTTTCTAAAAAGGACATAGCAAGACATCACTCTGACTTATGCCCTCCAACCCCGTGGTCCACATTTTTTTTTTTGCAGTTTTTGGCCAGGGCTGGGTTTGAACCCACCACCTCTGGCATATGGAGCAGGCACCCTACACTTTTGAGCCACAGGTGCTGCCTGCACATTCTTAATATAAAGAATTATTAATTAAATAAATAAACCTAATTAAAGGTTTATTAATATAAACCTTTGATTATATTTGTCTGGTGCATAAATAAGTACCAAGTGGCCTCTATCCCCTTACAGCCGTTTCAAAGACAGGGGTGGAAAAGAGGAGTTAAGATCATTTTAATCTCAAAGACTTTGAACATAATATTGAAAACAAACATTCTACTCATTAATCGATAATTGAATATGCAGAAACATTTTTTCCTCAAATACGTTATTGGAAATGAGAAAAACCATTGCTGTCCTAAGGGACAGAACTCTGGCTGGAATGCGGGCAATCTACAGACCTTTATGGGTATTTGGAGGGAGAAAAGGGAGTAATAGTTTGTAACCAAAGTAACTGGTTAGGAATGAAAAGGCAGAACCCGTACAGGGCTTTCTGGAAAATAACAATGTCCTGAGTCTTGAGAGTTTTCTTATGATGGGACTATGGTGCTAGGCCATTAAGTCTAGGGCAGCTGTAACACCCCCACACCTACATGGAGTATATAGCACATACTCTAGTACGGTCCTTTTTTTTTTCCCCAGTTTTTTTTTTTTTTTTTTTTTGGCCAGGGCTGGGTTTGAACCCACCTCCTCTGGCATATGGGGCCTGTGCCTTACTCCTTTGAGCCACAGGCACCGCCCGTAAAGTCCTTTCTGAGAGAAGCATTGCATACGTGAAGATGTCCACGGTGTGACTTCCAGCCCCAATCCTTGTTTTGGGAAATTCAACTGAACCATCAAAACGTTATTACACACACTGAAAATGTTAGATCTACTGATCAGGGTTTTTTTTTTTTTTTTTGAGACAGAGCCTCAAGCTGTCCCTCTAGGTAGAATGCCATGGCATCACAGCTCACAGCAACCTCCCAACTCGTGGGCTCAAGTGAGTCTCCTGCCTCAGCCTCCCAAGTAGCTGGGACCACAGGCCCTGCCACAATACCTGGCTATTTTTTGGTTGCAACTGTCATTGTTGTATGGCAGGCCCAGGCTGGATTCAAACCTGCCACCTTAGGTGTATGTGCCTGGCACCTTAGCCACTTGAGCCACAGGCACCAAGCCTGATCAGGTGTTTAATGAAGGTCTTTCTTAGATAAGATTCAGTGGTGTAGAGAGATAATCAAAACTATTCTCCAGGGCAGCATTTTCTGCCCTGGACCAATCCTGACTATAAACTCATCTTCAACTCCAGGCTCTTTTGAGAGTATTTCAGACTAGCTGGAAGAGAAGATTTGAAATGTTCCCAATATCCCAAATGATAAATGTTCCAGGTGATGGATATTCTAAAGGCCCTGACTTGATCATTACACCTTCTATGCATGTACAAAACTATCACAAATATGTACAAATAGTATGCAACAAAAAAGGTCATATATTTCATCCTGTATTTTACATAATGTCATTGTACATTTTCTTTATCCTGAAAATAGCATATCCTAATTCCTTTCTGCTACAGCAAAATTTCCTCTGTTGATTTTTAAATTAGGAAGCCTTGTACCCGGTGCACTTTCTCCTGCTTCTCTGACAGCCTGTCCCTCTCTCCCTGACCCCACTCCTGGGGGTTGTCTTTCCCACGACCCCAGCGTGCCCTGCCAGGAAAAGTCTGGGCTATTGCTGAGTTCCTGGATCTGTTTCCTCTTGAGCTCTTCCAACGTGGCTGCAGTAGAACCAGCTCCTTTGTGTCCTAGGAAGCTCGCTACAACCTGTGCCCTGAGCCCTTACGAAGGTTTGTTCACACTGCCATGTAAGTCTAGATTCCTTTTGAAATCACTGGCTTTTCCTAAGAATCTTTCAGAATAAATAGCTTTGAAGTTGCCTCACATATGACCTCATCTCATTTTGTCAAATGGTTAGAGGGGCTCCCAAGGGGATTATCCCCCAAAGATCTCACTCAGATGTCCACACATGGGCTTTGGGAGCTGGCCACAGATTTTAAGTGGTGAAAAGCTTTGCTTCTGCTCCCAGAGCACAAAAATGGAGTGAAAATGGTGGCACCACAGGCAGCACCAGCAAGAAAAAAAATTTCCCAAAAAAGGCAGGGGGTGGGGGTCAGGGGACTACGTGCACCAGTCCATGTTGCAAGAGAAAGGTGAACTTGAGCTTACACGAGATTTATCTATACGATGAAATATGATGCATCCATAAAAAATTAAGTACATGCTACTACATGAACCTTAAAATGTTATGCTAAGTGAAAAAAAGACTATAGATTGTACGATCCCACTTGGGTAAATTGTCCGGAATAAGCACATCCACAGAGGGTAAAAACACAGTGGAGGACTTGGTGCCTGCAGCTTAGCGGCTAGGGCACAGGCCACAAATAAAGGGGTTGGCAGGTTCGAATCCAGCCTGGGCCTGCCAAACAACTACAACAAAAATAGCCAGGCACTGTGGCAGGTGCCTGTAGACCCAGCTACTTGGGAGACTGAGGCAAGAGAATTGCTTAAGCCCAAGAGTTTAAAGTGGCTGTGAGCTGTGATGCCACAGCACTCTACCCAGGGTGACATAATGAGACTCTGTCTCAAAAAGAAAAGCACACTGGTGGTTTCCTAGTACTGAGGGATGGGGACAGACACCCCACTCTTTGTGGGGTGATGAACTATTCTAGAATCAGGTACTGGCGACCAACACACAACTTTATACCATCGACTGTACATTTTAAAAGGGTAAACTTTGTGTATATAAATTATATCTCAATAACGTTTGTTTTTTTAAAGAAAAGTCTTTGTATAAAATCCTGTTCTCCCTCCCATCAATAATTGTCTTGTTTTCCTGAAGGTAATAGCTTAGACTACTCAAAATATATTGGACTTCATCTGTAGGTCATTTTTCAGGATATATATTTTAAAAAGTACCACTAAAGAAGCTGGTTTAAAACAGTTTGAAAAGCACCTCCTGAGACCTGAAAAGGCTTCCAAACCTGTATTACTTCTCTGGCTGCTAGACACTTAATGGACTTTACTAAAAGGCAATTGAGCATAAGAAAAATTCAACAGTGATGAAAGGACACACGTAACTTACTAAATTTGCTTTCTCTCTTGATACGCTTTTTTGTTCTTCTACCTTAAGCTTTTCATTTAAAGCATCATTTTCACTCTTCAGGTCATTGATTTGTTTCTAAAAGACAAAGGAGGAAATGGGGAACAGAAGTTAATGAGAGGACACCAGAAACGTGGCAGGAATGTGTCAGAAGCACATACATGGCACCCCTGGGGTGGTTTTTTGCAGGGCGGGGGGAGGACTATTGAGATTCACCCACCTCTAGTGATTCCTGCTTCTCAGAAAGTAAATCCTCCAGTGATTTCTTTTCTATTTCATGGCTTTTCTTGATTTCTGGAAAGAAATAAGGCAGTAACAGACCATGAGATCACAGCACTGCACAACCACTAAAGCCTGTGAGGGCAGGAGCGGGTTACAAAGCCACACGGCCGTGCTACTTGACATCTGGAGGGTGCTTTCACCAAAATTAAGCCACCTGTTCTCAACACAGCCTTTCGAGCTGGGCAGGGAAGACAGTCCCATTTGATGACTGAGAGCGCCAAGGCCCACAGGGGCCAAGAGACTTTGGGAACAGTGGGTGTCCATGTCAGGGCAGGCTCCCAAAACCCTGGCCTCCAGAGCCTGGGTCTGGAGCCCTGCCCTCTTTTCAATGAACCAAGCAGAAGTCTAAAATTAAACTCATTTCTGGCAGGAAGGAAGAAAAAACAGTGTTTACTAAGTGTCCCCCCGGAGGCAATTTTTCATATTATCTCTGACCTCACACAACTATTTTTCTGATGAGAGTGTCCTCACTAAAGGTCACGAAGCCAGTTCTTGGCACAGGCCGACTTGCTGCTCTGGTTATAGTGGAAAGACTTTGGCCACACTGCCGATTCTGCGATTCTGTTCTGAAAGAAGGGCTTTTTATTCTTTTCCTTTTGCTTTAACTCTTCCAAGGATGGTAGAGGATATAATAATAAAGACTATTTTTTTTTTTTTTTTTGCAGTTTTTGGCTGAGGCTGGGTTTGAACCCACTACCTCTGGTATATGGGACTGGAGCCCTACTTCTTTGAGCCACAGGCACCACCCAGCCTCTTTTTTTTTTGGACAGAGTCTTACTCTGTCAGCCTGAGTAGAGTGCTGTGGCAACATAGCTCACAGCAACCTCAAATTCTTGGGCTCAAGCAATCCCCTTGTCTCAGCCTCCCAAGGAGCTGGGACTACAGGCACCTGCCATAGCACCCATCTAGTTTTTCTATTTTTAGTAGAGATAGGGTCTTGCTCTTGCTCAGGCTACTCGAACTCAGGTGATCCATCCACCTCAGCCTCTCTCAGTGCTAGGATTACAGTCATGAGCCAGCTCCCAGCCCCACAAAGCTCTTTATTCAGCAAGTGCAACCCACACTTCACAGCAGGGCTGGTCAGCAAGAGCAGGTAGTGTGCATCCTTCCCTGTGGCCAGGATATCCGACACTTTCAACTTCCCAGGGACCTAAACTGGCCACCATCATCACCACCACCGCAGCCACCACCACCACCATCACCACCACCACCAAAAAGGCCTTTAAAATCTCCCAAGTACATCCTACTTTCCGGTACTTACAGCAAATTATTATTTGCAACCACAGGGGTAAAGGGCATCTGTTAACAATGACCAACACAGAAAGTGACCAAGAATACTCCAGACCATTAGCACAGGGCATTCTCAGAAGGGGAAAGTTATGAATCATTTCCGTCTAAAGACAGACCAGGCTGTTCCATTAGATCTTTTCCTGTTTAAAGACAAAAAAAATAGTATCCTTGCCTGAAAGGGAGGCTTCGTAGGCCGCCTTGAGCAGTTCTATTTTCTCCGAGTGGCTAGCTTCAATTTCCAACTTAGAGGTTTCGTGGGCAGCATTTAAGTTGTCAAACTATAACAAACAAAGCCAGAGTTTAACAGTAAAAGTGAAAATCCTCAGCCGAGTAAGCGAGTAGCTGCATTAGGACTTTTTACACAGAAGCTTGTCCTCCAGTTTAAGGGCTACGTAGACAAGGAAAGAACTGGGATTTGCTACTCCCAATGCTCTGCTCTGTCCCACCCCTAGACCACAGACACGGAAGCCCTCCAGGGGCCACTGATGGAAATGGCTGAGTCCATCACAGGGGATGAGGGTGTTTTTCACTGCGACAGGCCACATGAGCTCCATGCCTGCATGTTAACCACTGCCTTCTAGAGTAATCACTGTAAATATTTGCTAAATGAAAACAGCTAAAAAAAACAAAGCAGCCAGGAAATTAAAAAGAGGCTTATGACATTCTATTAAGTGAAAAAAGTAAGTGGCAATTGAACAAGGGCCATTTAAAAGAAATGGCTTGGTGCCTATAGCTCAGCAGCTAGGGTGCCAGCCACATACACCGGGGCTGACAGGTTTGAACCCAGCCTGGGCCTGCCAAACAACAGTAGCAAATACAACCAAAAAATAGCCAGGCGTTGTGGTGGGCACCTGTAGTCCCAGCTACTTGGGAGGCTGAGGCAAGAGAATCGCTTAAGCCCAAGAGTTGGAGGTTGCTGTGAGCTGTGATGCCACAGCACTCTACCAAGGGCGACACAGTGAGACTCTGTCTAAAAAAAAAGAAGAAACATAAACCACTGATTTGGCACCACCAGAACTGCCTACAATGGAATCATTTCTGGGTAGTGGAATAAAGGGTTCTTTTAAAAATTTAATCTTTTCTTTCTTTCTTCTTTTTTCTTTCCTTCTTTCACTCAACATATGTACATTGCTTTGGTCATAAGAAAAAAAATCCAATTAACAACAGCTTTTTCTCCTGTTAAGCTAAAAAATAGAAACTCATCAAAGGAACTGAGCAACAACCAGAAGTAAACAGCCGCCGCCAAGAACATGCTCCGCTCCCCCAGGCACAGACCTGCTCTTGCAACTGAGTTTTATACTTCTCTGCTTCTTCTACGTAGGTGTCCCGAAGCTTTTCGTATTCCCTGGTGTAAAATTCTTTCAGCTGATTCTCCCGTTCTGTTCTATCGGCCTGGTGCTGCCGGACAAATCCCTCATAAGCTAGTTGCAGCTCATTCCTGGATTTTTCTAATTTCTCACAGGTGGTGGAGGCAGTGACTGAAAAGAGATGAAAAAGAAAAATGAAGATGACAGTTCATTGGTTAAATGTCCCAAATTCGTAACACTGACGCACAGCTGTGATCACACCAGACACACAAACACAACCATGACATCTCTCTGGTGACCAGAGCTCCCAGCATACTAATATGGAAGGGAACTGTAAAAAGGAACAAGGGGAGATGATCTCTGGTGACAAAACAAAAACAACAACAAAAAAACACCCCCAAACCTGACCACCAAGCAGTAAGAACAGTACTTGGGGAGAGCCAGGGTGCCAAGTGAAAAACCCTCTTTTGCATGGTGACCAGGTCAGCATAGTGGCCACCAAGAGAGGAACCTCAGACTGGCTGCCACATTTCATTTATTATGTATTTATTTATTTGAGACAGAGTCTCATTTTGTCACCCTTGGTAGAGCGCTGTGGTGTCACAGCTCACAGTGACCTCAAACTCCTGGGCTCAAGCAATTCTCTTGCCTCAGCCTCCCAAGTAGCTGGGACTGCAGATGCTGGCTGCAATGCCTGGCTATTTTTTGTTGCAGTTGTTATTGTTGTTAAGCAGGCCCGGGCTGGGTTCGAACCCGCCAGCCTCAGTGTATGTGGCGTAACTGCTGTGCTATGGGCACCGAGCCTGGCTGGGACACTTCTAAGGTCCAGTTACTCCACTCCCAGCCTGTGAGTGCAGCAGCTCAGACATGGAGCAGGAGGACAGAGCTGGCAGAGCAAACACGTGCGCTTTAAGCCTGTACTTCATTCGACCTGATTTCAGTTTGTTATTTCAATTACCATGGTAATAAAATCAGAGCATCCTATCTCTTTCCCACCGTTACAAAACAGAATTCCTAACAAGGTTAACATGGGACAGAAGAATGCGTGTGTACAGACAGATAGCTCCGTGTACACAAACTGTAATCATCCTAAAGATCTCAAATCTCTCAGGAAGCCTGACCTTGATGGCTTCCAGCCTTCCATCACTCATCTGTAAATACAGAGAAAAGGGGGGCTCCATGTGACTGGTCAGTCTGTTAATCCTGACCTCTCTTTTAGTACAAAATGTCTATTTCAGGAATTGTAGAAAGAAAAAAATTGTTTTAGGGTAGAAAAAGAGGATAGTTTAATGACGATTCTACCTAAGAAGGGTGAAAATGGCAGGTTCTGAGGACAATTCTCCTACAAGGATGAGACTTCTTTCCTCAGGAATACGCCACATGGTGGCAGAAATACTGGTCACTTGCTCCGCCTCAGTGCTCTTTCAGAGGCAAAAGGGGCCACGCTGAAATAATGGCCAAAAGTATCTGCTCTAGAGAACCCTTAAGAAAAAAAAAATGCACAAATATTTATTTAAAAGGGAGAGGAACTAACCTCTAACAAACAAAAACTACTACTTGATGCCTGGTGTAGAATGGGGCTCTGTGCGTTATCTTGTGGAACCCTCATAAAGGTCCCCTGGGAATCTTATTCCTAAATGTATAAATATGAAAACTACTTGAAGAGAGAGTAAATAACCCGCCCAGAAGTGCAGAGCTACCGGGTGGGAGAGGGTGGGATTTTGGTGAGCAGTCCAAATTCTGATTCTGTCTGCACCCCAAGCTGGGCCCTGCGTTCCCACCAAGCTGCCTCTCAGGCCAAGAGCTGATAAGGCCCACGGAGGGGCCTCCTGAGAGGCTTCCCGTGGGGCTGAGAACATAGCACCCAGATGCATGGCAAGGCCTGGGCAGCTCCTAGGGCGCTGTGGGGCAATCTATGGGGTTCACACCTCATTAAGGAGGACCAGAAGGTTTGGTCAAATGTTTAAAATAATTTTTCAAACAAACTGTGGTCTGCTGGTGGGACTGCAAATTAGTATTTGTGCCAGGGGTCCTCAAACTTTTTAAACAGAGAGCCAGTTCCCTGTCCCTCAGACTGATATAGGGCCAGACTATAGTTTAAAAGGAGGGGCACTGGCAGCAAAAACACCCAGCAGGCCGCAATAATGTCCTCGGTGGGCCGCATGTGGCCCGCAGGCCATAGTTTGAGGACACCTGGTGTACGCACATTCTTCTGTCCCATGTTATGCTGTTGGGAATTCTACTATTCTCGGGAATAATCTAAAAGGGACTACTTCAGACTAGAAGAGCTTCTAAGTGGGTTAAGAGTACACTCCACCTGCCAGATTTTACCACATCTGCTTACAATCAAACAACCATCATTTTGATTATACAACCTCAGCACATCAGGCTTTAAAATCAAATAGGATACACAAAAATCCTTTCCCATCAGCCACCGGACAGGCCATTTCCTGTGCTTACCAAAAGAAGAAAAAACAAAAAAAACTGAAGCTCAGAGAGTGTGCAGTTGTGTTGGCCACCGTGGGAGAGGTGACGAGAGGACACTGGGGGACAGATGGGAGGTGATGGGAGAAAATGGGTCAGCTGGGGCAGCGGGCAGCTCGCTGCTGTTACTCACAGCCCAAAGCAGCAGGCCCTGCCCCAGGTGGTGACGTCAGCCTGCAGCTGTGCACAGACCTTTGCTCTGTTTACAGTGTGGTGAACAGCTGGGCCCCGAGGATCACTCACACAAATGGCTTTAGCTTAACTAACTGGACTGGGCGCCTAAGGAAACATTTATTTAGCATAAAGACTCGTCAAATATTTCTCAAACAATGCACATGTGAATGTATTATGGCTCTCAGAGTGCTCCTCAACTGTGGTGACATGCTGGGGGGACAGGTGTCAGCCCATGGTTTTAGGCCCCGGACTTCCCTGCACTCCCACCAGGGCCAATGGCCTCCAGACTCCATTAGCTTTCAATTAATCGATCGGACACCCCAAAGCCAAGACCACATGTAAAGTCTTCCAGAACTTGGAATAAGTAAGCATGGGACTTTCTCCCAGTGCTAGATGAAGCTGTTTGATAGACGGTAACACACAAATACAAAACCCACACAACAAAGTCCAGGAGGTCCTTGTGTCCTTGCTGTTTTAATCGGTCCATGGATTGATTTTTAAAAGCATATATATGTATGACTGAGGGGCACCCAAAAGACCACCGCATGTGGAAGGTTGGATTGTAACCTTCATATGCACATTTGCAAACTACAAAACCTGTCTCCAGCAATCTAGCTTGAAGTGAGAAATAATGGTTTTCAGAATTTATTATTTTTATTAAAACAGAGTCTCACTTTGTCACCCTATGTAGAGTGTTGTAGTGGCATAGCTAACAGCAACCTCAAACTCTTGGGCACAAGCAATTCTCTTCCCTCAGCCTCCCTGGTAGCTGGGACTACAGGTGCCCACCATAACATCTGAGTATTATTATTATTATTGTTTGTTTGTTTAGCAGGTCCCAGGCTGGGTTTGAACCCAGCAGCCCTGGTGTACGTGGCCAGGGCCCTAACCACTGAGCTACAGATGCCAAGCTGGTTTTCAGAATTTAAAAAGAAAGAAATTATCTCATTTACAAAATCATCCTCAAAACATAAGGCCACCACCTTAAGATTAGAAGTCAATATTTATTGCTCTGGAATGGACCAGCCCTGAGAAGAATTCTCGGCCAATGACAGAGAAATGTTAGAGACCCTCCCTGACAGTTTAAATCACAGTTATCTATGTGAGGAAAAACATTTCATCAGAAAAACCAAAATGGTTTAAGTTTTATCTTTTGATTAATTATTTGGATGATGCTAGGGGTGGTGCCTCATGCTTGCTTGTAATCCTAGTACTCTGGGAGGCTGAGGCAGGTGGACTGCTTGAGCTCAGGAGTTCCAGACTAGCCGGAGCCAGAGTGAGACCCTGTCTCTAAAAATAGCTGGACACTGTGGTAGGCTCCCTACTGGGGAGGCTGAGGCAAGAGAATTACTTGAGCCCAACAGTTTGAGGTTGCTGTGAACTATGATGCCACAGCACTTTACTGAGGACGTCAAGACTCAGTCTCAAAAAAAAAAGAAATTACTTGGATGACATCTGGAGAGAGTGCATTGCCATAATTGAACATCACCTCTAAAAAATAGAGCTGGTTTCCTCCCAGGTCCACTAGCACTGTGGTTCCCAAGCCCTGCACTGGGGACTGTACCGATCTGTGTCGGGAGCACAGCAGGTGAGCGGCAGGTGCGCCAAGCTTCATCTGCGTTTACAGCCGCTCCCCATTAAGTGTCTCACACCTGAGCTCCACCTCCCGCCACATCAGCAGCAGCAGCACATGGGAACGCGAACCCCACTGTGAACTGCGCCCTTGAGGGACCTAGGGTGCACGCTCTTACAAGAATCTAATGCCTGATGGTCTGCGGTGGAGCTGACCACATGACAACACACTTCGAGTGTCACTGTCTCCCATCAGCCCCCCAAAGAGACCACCTAGTTGCAGGAAAACAAGCTTACACCCAGTGATTCTGCACTCCGGTGAGCAGTATAATTATTTCATTATATATTATGATATAATAACAACAGAAATAAAGTGCACAATAAATGCAATGGGCTTGAATTATCCTGAAACCATCCTCCTCCTCTTCTACAACCCCTAATTCTGATCTGTGGAAAAATTGTCCTCCACACAACCAGTCCCTGGTGCCAAAAAGGTTGGGGACCGCTAGTGGTTATCCCAGCGGAGTAGGCATGGAGCTATTACTTAATTAGTCCTCAGGGGTTTTTCTAAGAGAGGAAGGCCAGACTCTTATTATTTCCATCTCATGGAGACTCATTTCCCTTGGTTGACTGATAAGGGTGCGGTTTACACAGGAAAACGTGACACAGCCATGCCCCTAAATTGTCACTTTTATTCTGAAACGATATAGTGTTTCTTAGGTTTTATATCTGAGTAGCAAACTTTATCCTGCAACAACCACAAATATTTTAATGCTCAAGAATATAAACAAATGTCTTCACAGAAGAGAGCCAGATACTTAGATTCGAAACTCAGCCACGCCACTCACCTGGTACGTGATTTGAGCAAATTAGGTTTTCCAAATCTGAACTTTCTCAGTTTTTAGATGGAAATAACGTCAGTGCCTCCTCGATTGGATTAA